AACTAGTCGATTTCGTTCACGACGAGCGACAAGGAAGTACTTAACCATGCCCGCTAGGGTGTTTCATTTTTTCGTTGTAGTAATTTTCAAATGACTGCACGTTGTCTGAGTCTTGCGACATCAAATAGGTACGTGTACTGAATTTATAGAAGATTGGATTATGTACAGATGTTGCCAACTTGTCAAAGTATGGAAAAATACGAAACATATAATATATTTGTTATTTTTATTGGGAAAACTAGAAGTCACAAACCTAAACTATAAGAACTCTAGAGGTGTTTTTTGATAACTGTGACATCACCTTTTTTGCCGTCTTCATCTGGGTGAGTCTTCAGAAGCTGTAGGAAACTCAGATAATGCTTTAGAGCCCATTGACTTACATGTCCCTTGTGTCAAAAGCGAACATACATAAGACATGCTTGCTTTTCTAACGAGGCAACTGTAAGTTGATGGTTCTAAAGACTTGGGTCTGATGCTAAATGAGTTCCGATCGTTTCAACTGATTTCGATGGCACCTTGTGACGATACTCTTGATTCGCTATGACATCTGACTACATTGATCATCTATATTCAAATTATCATGGCAGTGTCAAAATTATCATAGCTCATTTAGAATCAGGCCAATGGTTGTGGTACAACCTCTGACCAGTTATTCAGACGAAGATGCTGAATAAATTGGTGTCTTAGTTGCCAGTTTCGTTCATTTAGGTAAAGCAAAATGATTGAAATTTTGGAAATATTTGAGGAGCGAATGTGGTCATTTTATTTTTCGAGCAAATGTGTTTTAGAAACGTTTATTTCTAAAGGACGTCTCAAATCTTACGAAAAACATGAATTAAGTGAAAAACGAGTTTTTCTCTTCAGACGCGTGTCATTCTGTTGACAAATAATGAAAGAAAAACTACGGGGATCTCACCACCTGCTGCCTATTATTTCTCATCACTTTGCGGTCAAACATTTAATTATATGAAAAACCTAGTTACTTATTATTTTCCCTAAATGGATTTGTTTAGGAACCTACTTGATAGTCATCAAACACCGTCAGAAACTACCTCACCGTTTTCAAAACAATGCGTGTATATTTAACTATATCTTTAGAAGATGTCATGGCAGAAACGAAGGTGGAGTCTCACACTAATTTGTCAGCTATAAAGTGACCGTTGATAGTGCGGTCAGTTCTTAATTCTGCCAAGTCAACACAGAGCGGAAATAAATGCAAGAGGAAGATGAACACTCAGGACAGGGTGGTTCGAGACGATGCTAGAAAAATAAATACCAAATTCTGAAAATGTAAAGATGGATACTTGAAAATTATGAAAGCTAATAGTGTGGCTTCTAATCAGCTCATAGCTCAAAATATATTAGAGTTTTGTTGGTTCGTAAAATTATCGAGAAAACATAAACATAAACGCGGTTATACCCTGTCAGTGCTTGATGTATAGCGCTCCATCAAGTTAGAATCAAAAGTGGAAGCCTGATGGGCCTACCTACAGGCCTTGACCTGTCTCAAAGGAGCAACGTTTGTTGGCATACCGGTAGCCGGGATCCAAATCACCGATCGTACTTCGATCGGAGAGCGGCTTGAAATTGTGTGTTGTCGATGTATCACTAATCCACTGGATAGCCTCCGTCTGATCCCAATCAAGTGGGTATGGATAGCGTAGTCAGAGCAACAGGACCGTAGATATGTGAACAGTATTCCAGATCGGGTGTTACCCATGCTTTGTTCAGTGATAAGGCTTGATGGCGAATACATTTCCTAGTGCCTAACAAATAACCCTTTTAGCAGCTGCCGCGATTGTCGTGAAGTGCTGGTTCAAAATTATGTTCAAAGTACGAAGAAATTCAGCTAGTCAAAACGAATGACTCCCTGACAAATCTGGGTCATCAGTTCTCCCATTTTGGAGCTACCTATTGATTAATGTACTGTGTCTCAGAAGCATCAAGCTGTACCAGTACCCCATTTTCAGCTAGAGAGAAGCCTTATGTCTTCCACCATAGAAAAAATCACTACCAATTTTATTCTTCCCAGTTCAACCACAGAGTTCGATCTGGCATTCTGGAGCCAAGTCTATATATTTACACTGCCGAGTATGTCGCCAGTCCCAGACTCTAGATATTCGACTAATCAAAATATCTAATAGGACCAGCCTATATTCGGTTGATGCGGCATGCTGGATTTTCCCAGGCTTCCCCAAGACTATCTGTATGAGTGCAGACGTGGGAGATGTGAAAGGGTTTCAGATGACGGTGTTTAATTTAGGAATGGAATCCGGGAACCCAAATGAGAGCAACTTAGTCGTACTTTGTGGCTGAAAACGTGAAATGTAGTTGACAATCTTCCTAGAAGTTGTATAATTCACGTTTCTATGGATGGCCTTGACAATAATTGCAGAAGATTTCCATGTGTTGGTGGCAAAAGCGTTTCTGCTTCAATTAATATGCAGAATCGTTGCATAGAGGTTGGGGAATCTTTTGCACGACTTTGAACAAGTTGTGAACGGCGAATGCGAGTTCACAAGGATTAACAAAAATTACAGGTAAATATATGTTCCTTTTTCGAAAATATACCGCTCTTTACAGAGTTGCTTACCGCTACGTGGCAACACAAACGTGCATTTTTTCCAAGGAATACTTTGAAAGGTCTCCTCTAAGGTAAAAACACGCTGCTTCTGGAGCTACGGGATATGTTGGCCGAAAAAACACTCAACTCTGACAACTTGTAAGTTAGTGACTCTTGTAGATAGAGAAGCAAATTTTTTGTCAAAATGAGCTTCATATCCTAGAACTTTTTCTCATTTAATTTTTAAATCTTTTGGATTACATATATAGGGTATTATTAAATGAGCTTTTGCTCAAATAACTCAAATGGTTTTTATAAAAAGTACATTTTGCGTTTACCAGCATTCTGTATAGATGATACACAAAATTAAGGCAACGTTCAAATGACCAGGCTATTATGGCATATGAAGCTCATCTTGACACTACTCTATCTGCAAAAGTGTTACTCAGAGGCTGCCAAAGTTGAGTGTTTTTTGAACAAAATATCCCCTAACTCCAGGAGTAGCGATTAGAACCCTATAGCAATTCGGCATGATATGACTAGCAACAGATTCCAAGAATCAATCATTTGGTTTTAAAATTTCAAAATTTAATTGTTTTTATTTTATATAGATAGGTGAACTTTGTGATTTGGTTTCTTGGGCCTTAAATTCAACTTTTCACTTCACCAGCTTCTTTACGCTGTGGGGTGATAAAGTAACCTTAGCATCACCCATCCTTGAATTAGTTTACGCCCACGGACCGCAGAAATTGTCCATATTTATTTGTTGTTAGGTTCCCTTGACTACTCCTGCTATGTAGGCCCAGTTTATGTACAAGATATTTATGTAACTATTATTACTTCGATTAATGCGTTATTCGGCAAGTTTTACAATAAAATCAGAGATATGCTACATTTTCCTGATTATGTTCTGCTGTTTCACTGAGAAAGGACAACTTTAAGGAAAGTAGTCCTGACAGCCGAAATGTTAGTGAAACTGCATGACCCTTGAATGGTTTCTATTAGCCAGAAGAAGCGGTAGAAGACTCCTGAAAATGTTGAATAACGCTCGAGAAAAAGGACCCCGCAGAATGCTTATGGAGAATGGATTTCAGCAATTTTTTTTAAATTCAGTGTGATGTAGATCTACACTTAGGACAAAAGTGTCCATGGACAAAGTAATTTTCAATGAGTGGTTTTTGAGATTCAGAGCGTACGTACCCTGTTACAGCATATTGCGGGTTTCGTACATGACGTATAATAACGGTTGCATTCTAACAGAATCTTTATTATGTGTTATTCAGGACTATCTGCCCCACACCGCTGGAAACTCATTTTAAAAATATTCACCTTTATACGCGATGTTCCGGTATTGGGATACATATAAAGGTTACAGTTCTAATGGACGACCATACATTTATAAATCAGTACATTATTAGAGAAAGATTGATAGAGCATACTTCTGCATTTAGACGAGTGGTTCCTAAGTTGCTTCTTGATATAAAAGTGAAACAGGTCCGTATTTCCGAAAAAATCTGTTTAATCATGCAACTTGTTCACTTAGGTAATTCCTTATTTTGTAGTCTTTGTACTTGATATAGCTTGATATTTCAACCTCTTTATGTTTTACATCTCTCCTATACACTTATCAAATGGTTTATCTTAAATTTGTTACATGGAACTGACCTTTCTTACACATAGTGTCCTATTTGAGAGAGACTAAACGGTGCGTTTTTGAGCTCTCTACAACTAAATGATTCCAATAATTCAACAAATGAACAAGGTAGATGAACTGAATAATATAAGGTCCTACTACAGAAAATTAAGTAGTCCATTAAGATGGGCCAGACAGAGGCTATCATACCTTCATGTTCTATAGAGAAAATACATGAAAGCTAAACAACTACCCGACAAAACGGAAAAATACAATAAGTTATGAATTTTTTTGTCTGCAAACGTGGATCCAAGTACGCACTAAAATATTGGTAAAAAAACAGGTTTGATATCCAGCTCCAGGTTAGTAGTGGAGCACCCTGTAAAATCCTGAAAGATGGGTCTGCCAATTACTAAACAAAAATCGATCCACCAGTTTGGGTCACCCAGTGTATGTGATAAAATGACAAGTTTGGCCGATTGGCCAGTGCGGATGCTGATAAAATGTAAACGAATGCCAAACATCGGTTACAAACCGTACGACTTACTATCAATACGCCTTTATGGGGTACAGATCCTTCATCTTAGATACCCTGTATCTCGAAAGCCGCTCGCGAAAAACTGTCCATGGATAGTTTTGTTCTAATTTACGACACAATGCACTCTTTATTATTTATAAAATTCAAATTAGTTAGTTCCTACTGAGCCTTAAAATTCTTCGACTTTTACTCTCCTGATCTATAAGGTGGAAAGAGTATAATTTTCACTATTGACGGAATATGTAAAGAACTACAAAAATACTCACCATTTTATTGTTAATCTCGTGAAAGTGAATTTCGCATACTTTGTCCACAACGTCTTCACTTTGAAATGTGACAAATCCGAAACCTGAAAAAAAGAGATACTATGTTACTATTGCCCTCTGGAACGATAAACATAAAATATGCTTCCGACACAGTTTGTCTGAAAAGCGGAGATAGCCTGGACGCCTGTCCCATATTTTAGATTACGGCAGTATATATAAGAAACGAATCCGTATTTTATTATTAGGGATGGTTTATGCTTTTTCAATATTGAAAGTCGGGGAATCATTTTGAACTGAACTAGATAGATATTGGGATCACGGTGGCAAATTCAGAGAAATGTTTACGTAATAGCTTTTATTTTTTGGCCAAGGAAAACTGTGTTGGAATATCCCTTTGATTGATTGATAAAATTTTATATTTGTTGTATCTGTTTTCAGAATTACCTAGATTTTGAATATTCGAACTAGTGATACAGATGGCTTGTGTATCTCATGTAAACGGCCACGGTTCACGAGATAATCAGTAATGACGTCAATATTGCAAGAACCGGGTACAAACTATCCGGTATTGGAAAGTATGTTTAACTACCCGGAACTAAGGATTGAATCTACCCGGTAATTTTCCTTCTATTACTTTCTATGGGTGCCTACTGATACATGGTAGGATAGGGTAAAATATGCGCAGTTGCCAGATGTAGCAGGATTCAGCTATGTTGGTAGATAGCGATTTAATGTTATTCACCACTAGGGATGCAAGTTGGAACTAACAAACCATGAATTAGTTGTAGTTTGTATGTAGTATGGAAAATTATTATTAGGTAAATATTAAGGAATATTGGGAAGACGTGCTTGTGATGAAATCCAAATATAGCTTTTTACCAGGGTTAACTGACTTTACCCTTAGCCTCAAGGCATCGACGACACTTAGCTTGTATTTTCATCTACAGATACAAGACAGAAACACCGCGTAGAAGGTACCAGGTACATGTAATGAAAGTAACGAATATTACCGATATTGAAAACTGACGATCCTTGAGGCTACCAATAATTGATTACCTCTTATGCAGGGTGGCCAATATATCACTGACTGATTTAAATTTATACACGTATTTCAGTACGTGGCGCCGTAGTAGTTGTTCAAAGCACATGTGTCCAATTCATTATGGAGTGCTACACGATCCCACATCGCTTCCGTATTGTTAAAACGTTTTACTTAAACAATGAGTCGATTGTTGCAACGATTCGAGAGCTACGACAACAGTTCGGTCGAAATAATGTTTCCCATTGTCAACACCATTCGTCACTTGGTGCGGAAATTTGAACAACAAGTGTAGTGGAGCGCTCTGAGACGACTACCAGACATCGTTCTCAAGAACCGGGTATTCGTCGCACGTGATTATGCACTACTTTAAAAAAAGTCTTGCATTTGCGGCCATAAAAATTCAGTTAACCCAAGAACTACAGCCTAGTGACCATGAATGTCGCCGAAAATACAGTCAAGCAATATTGCAGCTTAATACGCAAAATAACGATTTTTTACCGACAACTGATAATGAGCAATGAAGCCCACTTCGATTTGAACGGATTTGTTAATAAGACGGGGTTTTCACGATACGAGTGCACTCGGTCCACGCAAGAAATGCTGCTCTGCAGCGCATTATAAATAACTTAAATATAGAAGGCACCACCATCCAGGATATCAATACAAAAATAAATAACATACGTAGCACGTATTCACAAGAAAAGATGAAGATTAAAAAGTCACAAGGAACTGGATCGGGGGCTGACGATATATATACACCATCTGTCCCATGGTTCGAAATAGCCGACAGATTTCTGTCTGAAATTTTTAAGCCGAGAAAAACCTTTCAAAATCTGGTAAGTACTACTTGTAACTTCATCCTAGAGAGAGAAATGTAGTTTTGATGCCATTTTATTTATTTTAATCCTGCACAAGTTTGTCCTTTTTGATCAAGTGGGTTTTAAATAGACTGACAAGGTCTATGCTTCTTTTTACAACGAGTAGTGGAACTGCTTAAAGAAAAGCTGGTTTTTGATCATATACCTACTATATTCGATGGTATGATTTCCTAGTATTTCTCATTTATGTCCAATCGATGAGTTAACCATAAGTACAATAAAACAACAAGATATACATTCATATTATTGGTTTATTATTTTACAACACAAGTATTACTGCTTGCCTAAAATATCCTGTCATTTTGCCATGAGAGAGCACCTTGTCCAATGAAATGATTTTTATAGTTGCTTCTTTTTTGTTCTGCTAACTGGGAATAATTATTACTGCCCTGATTCTGCATATCTGCAATATAAATAGACCTAAGCTCTTGTCTCCATGCACCAGATCTATCGTCCGTGTCCATAGTGCCGACAGGTGCGTATGATCGCGAAGCTGTTTTGATTAGCCAATTATGCATCCCGCAAGTTGCCTTTACTATTTTGTCTACTTTATCTGGACATACATATATCGGAGTACGATAAATACGGAATCTTGATACCATTATTCCGAAGGCATTTTCTACTATTCTTCTCGCTCGAGAAAGTCGGTAATTATAAATTTTTTCTTCGTCCGTCAAAGGCAGCCTACGAGAATAGGGTTTCATCAAATAGCATGTTAACGGAAATGCTTCGTCTCCTAATATAACACCCCAAGAAGGAAAATTCAGTGTGCCATCTTCCAATTTCTTTTTCAGTATTGAGTTACTGAAAATTGAAGCGTCATTCATTCTGCCTTGGCTTCCCACATCTATATATGTGAAACAGTAGTTACTGTCTACAAGTGCTAAGAGAACAGTACTACAGTAACCTTTATAGTTATAAAAATCACTTCCACTGTGTTCTGGTTTTTGTATGTTTATGTGCTTTCCATCCAGTGCGCCGCAACATCCAGGAAAGTTCCAACGATGATTGTACCCTCTTGATATAACATCCCATTCCTCGTATGTTTTCGGAACCTGTAAGCCATACAAACGAACCTAAAATTAGTTTTATTTTATTTCAGGTACAATTCGACGAGTCAAGTTTTGCTTCCCCAGATGTATTATCAGAAATCCCTTCACAAGAGGTGCCAGTCTTACCAGATATACCACATTCACCGGATATACCTACCAGCCCTCCCTCAGATTTGTGTGCCCATCCATCGCCTAATAGTAGCCATTTTACTGTACCCCCGCATCCAGCTAGGAAACGCGCAAAGAGAGCATTGCCTCAACATATTGAAAAATCAATCGAGACACTCCAGTCAATTAAAAATCAAGCTCTGTCTAATAGAGAAGTAGAAGACGAGTTCTATTATTTTGGCAAAAATATTGCTAGCCAACTACGACAACTACCACTAACCGATGCTCTCGATGCTCAGACAGAAATTTTAAATTTATTAAGAATGAAAAGGCAGCATATTCTCCAGCAGACTAGCTCTTCTAGCTACTCACCACAATCTGAATGCTTTGTCGAAATACCAGACCATGTGGATATATTTGATGCTGGTCAAAATATTCCCATTCGAGTTTTAAAAACATATAAGTACTCCACCAAATACTGTCATTCAGGCAACAGGGTCTGAAAATGACGTTCGAGCAGAGAATATATTAGAAGAGGCTATAAGAAACATACCGACTATTAGTGAAGATGCTGTGCCTGAAGATCCTGGAAAATAACATATCAGAAGTAGCTATCACAAAAATTAATTCACTCCTCACCCAATAGAAATGTGTATTTACTTGAATAAATAATTAATACGATTTGTACTTACTGACCTGTATAAATTCTTCCAATGCCTCGTAAATAGCATCTAACACTGCAGGTAGAAACTGGGATATCGAGGATTTTGGAACCCGAAAGTTACTCTCCAAACTGCGAAAGCAGTCACCAGTAGCTAGATACCGCAAAACTATCTCAAGCTTAACCCTTGCTGGTAGCGCTTCCCTCATAAGAGTATCTGCCTTCTGTATTTTTGGTGCAACTCTTTTGAGAAGAAATTCAAATTGTGTGCTGTTTAATCGTAAATGATTTTTATAGGTATCCTGATCTTCTATGTTTACTTCACAAAGGAAATTATTTGCTGCACCCTGTTGATTACGCCGTAAAATCCAATTGCGGGTCCAAATCTTTCTTTTGCTTTTTTTTCTTGGTTTTTGTTGCCCTTCTATTTCCGAAATAAGCATATCTGCCACTACTTCTATGCCTTGTAGCAATAAATTAGTCGACATGATAACATTAACGAACTGAAATAAATGCTACTCGGAGGCTGCTTTAACTCGGAACGTGTAGACTACTATCTAAGTAGACTCCTATACGATTTAGCTCGTACCGCGCACTCGGACCGAGTGTACTCGTATCGTGAAAACCCCTCTTAAGCAAATTTGTCATATCTGTGCATTAGAGAACCCTCGTGTCATCGATCAATGACCACTACATCCGCGCCGAGTCACAGTTTGGTGCGGTGTTTGGTATGGAGGTGTCAAGTTCTTTGAAGACGCTGCAGGTAATTCTCTTACTGTCACTGGCGAGCGCTACCGTGATATGGTGCAAAACTTTCTGGCTCCTTAAATCCGACAATTTAACCTGCAAAACGTGTGGTTTTAGCAGCGTCTTGTCACACAGCTAGGGAAACAATGAATCTTTTGCGAACAATATTCCTGGACGTTTAATTTCTCGATTTGGTGATGTCATCGACCACCAAGGTCACCGGATTTCACGGCTCCTGACTTTTTTTATGGAGTTTTTCGAAAATAGGGTTTATGCCAACAAACCAAATACTGTGGAGCAGCTGAAGAACAATATTACGGAAGCGATAGAAAATATTTTTCCCGAAATCTACCAAAAAGCGATGGAAAATATAATCAAGGAGGCTCAGGTTTGCGCGACTTCTGGAGGCGGACATTTGTCTGATATTATTTTTCATACATAATTTCTAAGTTTCAGTAAAAGATTAAGATGAAAAAACATGTAAATATTTCACTTCATTACACAAATATTCGAGATAAAAACCAGTCGGTAACATATCGGCAAAGGAAGATGGGCAAAATGTACGGATCTTAGTGCCGGATCCAACAGCAATTACTGTTCTCATTTTAAAGGTAGCATCATGCATAATGAAGTTTTACAGTGCTAATTTCGATTCGTTGTTGAGGTACATTGAATATCTAACTGTACGAGAAGCAAAAATAGCATGAGAATATATTTCACAACTTTAGGAGAAACAAAGTAAGAAATAAATTAAATATTACAAAACAGACAATAAATCAATTATTATAGTACTTGTGCACATGGCGGGATAAAAGGTTATTGGTTTTTGTACCATAATGCCCATTATCCTTTTGCAATTGATGTTCAAGACAAAATTAAAGAAAGAAGTTAAGAAAGCTTAGGATAAAGGATTTAAGCACCTACGATCGGTAATTATGATGAATTTGATACTTATGGACCGCGTAGCCAGCACGCCAGTAATGACTGACTCATAAGGTTATCTAAGCATCCACTGACACAGACGGAATGATTTTTAAACACTGTTGGTACATACCACAGAAAACACTGACCGTGTGACGTTCGCCTAAGCGGTTTTCATCTGTATTCAAATTGGCGCCAAAAGCGTATTCATATTTCATATTACGACTAAATTATTTATCAACTCAAACATCATTGCATGTTGAAGGTCCGGAATATAGGGAATGCCTACTAACTTCAGAAATCATGGAAAATAATTTCAAAGATTCCAAATATGCAAAATATTCATAGATTCAATTAATGCGAGCTTCTGGAAGATGCGGGACACCGCAGCATTTTCGTTGTTAAAGAAATCTGCATAATGAGCGAATCTGATTTACACAATTTTTTGCCAATGGTGATCTGATACTCATAAGAAGACCAACTCTATATTTTAGCTGTAAGAAAGGTCAAAAGTCAATTCAATCTTTCGACCGTTTGTTCCTTTACCTCACATGTAATCCCATTTGAGGCGTGGGCGCACGATTGCGTAGAGAAAAAAATCGTCGCTTGTCCATTCGATACAACAGAAAGGTGCGCCCTAAGCTACCTACTAAATAAATCTAATGAAAACTGTGGTGACGTTGTATTGCGATGACTCTAGATAAAGTCTAGATACAACAAAACAATGCCATGTAGAATAATAGTAGGTTTAATATGAGTCGTCCTTATTTCCAGCGAAAAACTTGTACCAGGCAGGTAACATCCTAATTTGTAATTTTACTTTTAAGAGTAGTTATACAATATAAAATATATCATCGTGTCCTTCAAAAGATATTAATATATCCACCAAATAATTTTTTTCAAATATTAAGTCAAATATAATAAAAGTTCTATATTCTAGTAGTATATCAGTTATATGCATTACTAGGGTAAATCGTTAGTTATCGGACACCTGACAGTTATTGGACACTGCTGTTTCAAAACCTAATACTAAGAGTTCTGTATGGCGTATTTGGTTCAGTTCTCGACAGATGGTACCTCTATAATATATGTTAACAGATTTCTATTCGGTTGCGCATACTTCCATGCCGGTGCTGTGATTATAGCGGGAAAATTTTATAGGTTATAGGACAAAAAATTCTACATTTTGTTCTCAAGGTAAGCATCTATTTTTGTATTGCGCTCGTACTGATATTTGTTGTCAACTGTCCAATAGCTAAACTTGACCGTCCAGTAGCCGAGTTCGGATCTCTAATATTTGGTCTACATTTTAGGAACTAGCAATATGCCGAAATTAAGGCAATACGACAAGTCGAAACTTAAATACGCTCTCAGAGACATACAAAACGGCACAGAATCTTACCGAACAGCCGAAAAACAGTACAGAATTCCGAAATTCAGTTCAGAATTTAAACTGAAACATCCCGGTTATAAAGAAACCTTGGGTCCATCGCCAATTTTAACAAGCGAAGAAGAGGCTTTGTTAGTTAGGTAATTTGTATTTTATTAGTGTCTAATAACACGAGACTAATTTTATAAATATTTATCTGCAGCTGGATAAGAGATAATGCTGCAAAGGGTTTTCCAAGAAAGGCCAACGATTTGACGAATAGCGTACAAAGATTTTTGACTGTTAATCCGCGTCCACACAAATTCAATAATAATTGACCTGGAGATGGGTGGGTTAAGGTATCCCAGCAAATAAGTAATGTATAATGAGTTACTACTTATAGATATTTTCAACGTTACAGGGGTTCTTGAAAAGGCATCCCGATATCTCCAAAAGAACAGCTGAAGGGGTTACTTCGTCCAGTGCATGTGTCTCAGAACAGGACATCAGAAACTGGTTTGTCCATATCCATGACTACTTCAAGCAAAGAATCTAGAAGATGTTCTTAAAGATCGTTCAAGGATTTTTAATGCTGACGAGGCAGGATTTGAGATTTGTCCTTCCACTGGGAAGGTGTTTGCAGCACAAGGATCGCGGTTCTTCGAAAGAAAACATCACCGCGCTGTGTACTTTCTCAGCAGATGGTACGACTTGCGTGCCAATGGTAGTTTTCACTTATCAACGCATTCCTGAAAAAATAACTAAAGGTATTAATCCTAAGTGGGGCGTAGGAAGAAGCCACAAAGGATGGATGACATCCGAAATATTTTATCAATATATAGCAAATTTTTTCTATCCCCATCTGAAGGAAAATGCCATCAAATTACCAGTGATCCTCTTTCTCGGCGGTCATAAGAGTCACCTGAATTATCATCTGAGCATTCTATGTAATGAACTACAAATTGAAATCATTTCACTCTATGCTAATGTTACAAGCATTTTCCAACCCTGTGATCTATCCATTTTCCAACCAATCAAAGAAGCTTAGCGTCAGTCAGTACGGAAGTTGGAAGAAGAAGATCCAGGGCAAATAGTAAACAAAGTCGTTTATGCTGGTATTCTAGAAAATGCACTTAATAAGAGCTTCAAAGCAGAAACAGTTGTAAACGGGTTTAAAGTCTGCGGTTTGTATAATTTCAATCCAGATAACGTCGACAATACAAAATGTCTAGGAGTGGGGACCATGCAGCAACCAAATATTGGTGTAGAAAATCTTACTCAGCACAAGATGACCTACGACAAGTTCGCAACAATAGTTGGTCCCAAAAAAAATCGAAATGTTCCAAAATATTGATGTAAAAATGGCAGAAAATGAAATTTCCGATAAAAATTTGCGTCTATTATTCAAGACTTGGAGATTCTTCCGAAACGGTGATACAATACCTACGGATATCACAGAGCCAAAAAATAAAATTGATATTGTATAAAATATAGTTATAATGTCCCCAACAAGAAATCCTTCACTTGCTTCAAATTCTAGTGAACCTGAACAAACCGCAACCCTTAGTCAACCGAGTACCAGCAAAGCTACTGTCAATGTAATGTGTAAGCAAATAATTCCTCCCAACCGAGTCGAAGTTACAAACAAATTGTTAGGAAACTTCCTAGAGTCACTTTCTGCACCAGCAAGAAGGTGTAAACGAAGAACAGAGAGATTCCCTTTTGCTATAACATCTGAGCGATATCAGGAGATGTTCAGGAAAAAAGAAGAATTAAAGAAACAGCAGGAAGAAGAGAAGGGAAATATAAAAAGGAAGAAGCAGGAAAAACGAAACGAAAAACAAAGTAAAGGTAAGAATTCACAAACAGCAACACAGTGCTCTAGCTGCCTAAAGGGCATCAGATCTGGTGAACTACCATGTAATGACTGTAAACGATACTATCATCGAAACTGTGTTCCACAAAGCCACGAACATAACATACCTAGCGATAAATATATGCCATAACTGCTAAGTGATAGTGACGAGGATATTGATGATCAGGAAGTCGGTGAATTACGAGCATACGACCAATATAATCAGACAAAAAACGCATTTTACAAATGATTATACCACATTATATAAAACGGTTCCAATAACTAGATTTTCAGTGTCTCATATCTAAATGATGCGTCCAAAAACTTAGTTAGTTTTTTGCTTATGTTCAAATTATCATTGTTAGTGTAAATTCTGCAAAGCTATTTTCAAATACGTTCTAGCAGTCTGGTTAATAAAGCCTCTAACTTATCTCTTTGCCATAATTGAAAGTTTGGCTCTCATTTAAAGTTGTCTAAACCTTAACTGTCCAATAATTGTTTGGTCTACCCTATATGGCTTCAAAGTAGTGAACTTTTTTTTTCTATATCTATATATAGCAACATCGTCTTGTTTTAGGTCCAGTAACAGTATCTTATGTCAAACAGGTTACCAAGATGGTGGATATAGTGCTTTTTGTGACCGGGTTCGTTTGAGCAATTCTTGGATTTGGTCGAGGACACTACATCGCTACCGTGGTTACATTATTTGTCTGTTTTACTTGAGAAGAAATATATAACAGCTTATTGACTACTTCATCAAGACGCACTACAAAGAAACATTGTATCTCAAAGCCTACTTACAACGTTAAAGTCCTATTTCGGGACAAGCAATAAAAAACGGAGGAAAACCAACAAATAACGTAAAGCATCAATAATGCACAGGTCACAAGATAAAATATCAATATCAAAAAACCTGGTCTTTGATGGAGCTTAAAAAAAACCTAAAATGGTAGTTGCAAACAGCAAAATCTGTGTATGAATGCGAATAATTGAATATTTATCAGGAAAGGATGCAAACAAAAATGCTGCGCATGCACACATTTGGAAGTAGGGAAGGGGCAAATTGGAGAGCATCAAGCTCACTTGTAGTGCTAGTAGATATTTGTTTTTTTTTGGTGTCCTTTGAAATTTTCTCATAGAAGCAGACAGCAAATAACTTACTTTTAGGCTTACACTTATGCTTGTACCCTCTGGAACTTGAACTGTGTACTCTGACCAGTCAGCCAAAACTACCGTCCTACTCCCAATGACGTATTAAGGGCAGCCTTGCAAATTAATAAATTAGAATACGAATTAATTAACCTTGTTACGCCGATTTATTCACAAACTAAGTGGATATGAAACTGATAGGCAGAAAGAGGAAATTTACCTTTTCTGTATAAACGATGCCAGTTGATTTACGAACATTAACAGTCTATAAATAGAAGTTGATGCGGCCATAACGATTGTAATCATTTTAGGGGTCGTCGCGTCGGCGTAATCTTTTTATGGAACCTGAAAGAGCAGCCGAAATTGGATTTCTGTGATACGAAAATCCGGTCAGGTATCCCGGACATGACCTTCTTATGAATTATTAAGCGCTGATGGTTGTTTTAACCCATTTAGGCATTCGGACAGAAGCGATGAGAATCATAAAATATAAAAGGGGTATAATAAAAAATAAAGGTTTCCCTTGTACATGAACGGTCACGCAGCTTTGCAGTCTCAGGATAGCGTAATACGTTATCAGTTAATGTAACACTTCAAACTTATCCTGTGGTCTTCATGTTGGTAGAACTGCGTGATCGTCTGGCCAAATCAAACCACATACAGGGCGTTATTTGAAAACTTCCCACCAGGGATTTATCTAAATCCTCTGATTGAAAGAAAAAACGCAGAGACACGTCAAAAGATTTGTCAAGGGGGATAACTTTTTAACCAAAAACCACTTCACCCTCTTTTACCCTCGCCCCCTCAGGGTCATGTCCTTGAAAATTTTGAATGACAAGGGATAACGAGTGATAGCTTGTTTGAAAGGTCTTTCGATGTCCCTTATTTTGTTGATTTTAAAATCAGTTGATTCGTTTTCCAGGAAATTAAAAAACCTTTATTTATCCTAATTTGTTCAGATAGGAAACAAAAACACACGAAAATATCACTTTGATTTCAATAAGTGTTCAAAATGCTGCCCGTTAAGGTTTGCCAAATCTACAATTCGTTTATAATTTAAAGCGGGTAAAACGTGGGAACAACCAAATAACAACACGACTTTTTTTACGCATTCTTTTCATGAACACAGGTCCTGGGCGAACTGTATTTATTTTTATTCCTGTTGAGTTATTTGTTGCGAAGGGAAAGAAATAATTTAATTTGCTGTCAGTTACGTTTGTGACAACATCGGGATAGTGAAAATTAATTTACTTCCAAAATGGTTTACACACTAGTCGAAAGAGTGGAAATGATTCTAATGTATGGCGCCCAAAATCAATGTGCTCGGCAAACTGCCATCACGTTTAACGCTAGACATCCGGGGAAGATAACTTCGGATAGGTATCTTTTGGACCTTGTTACTAAATTTACTCAAACTGGATCTTTTACAAATAAAAAGCGTGATCGTAGGAGAGTTTTGGATGAAGCCGCTCAAGTTGAAGTTTTGGGTTATTTTGGAATAAATCCTCATACTTCATTACGCAAAATTGTTGCTGCGGCTAGCATTTCATTAGGCTCTGTACACACAGTTACTAAACTCCATAAACTTCATCCATTCAAAATAAAAATATTGCAAGATCTAACAGAAGATGATTTCGTTTGGCGAGTTGAGTTTCGTGAACAAATGAATGCAGTGATTAATGATGATACCATTCATGTAAAGAATATCTGCTTCAGTGATGAATGCACATTTTATCTAAATGGATTTGTTAGTAAGCATAACTTCAGGTATTGGAGCTATGAACATCCTGATGTTTTTGTAGAAGGGCATACCCAGTACAGCCAAAAAATTAATGTATGGGCAGGCATTTTAGGAAACAAATTGATTGGGCCATTGTTTATTAATGGACATTTGAATGGTGACATCTATTTGGATATGTTGGAAAATACCATCAATCCGCTTATCCATGAAATCACTAAAAACCAAATCGAAGAGGATGGAAACCCTATACTTGATGAGGCTGAAATATTGTTCCAGCAAGACGGTGCTCCTCCTCGCTATGTTCTTCCGGTTTGGCAATGGCTAGACGACGATTTTCCAGATAAATGGATAGGGCGAAGAGGGCCTATAGAATGTCCTGCTAAATCTCCTGATTTGACGCCATTAGACTTTTTTCTATGGAGCCATTTGAAATCTATTGGGTTTACGCCCCAACCTGAAAGTTTGAATGAATCCGAAAACGCATCATCGAAAGCTGCCATGATACGCCAATTTGTGGAAGCGACGAAAAGTACTTCGGACGAGAGTGTTGGTGAAACTAATTTTAACAGTTTATTTGGCAATCACGAAAATAC